AACCTTGTGTATTTATTTCTTTTCTTTATTTTTCAGGCTAATTTTTAATTAGACACTAATTTCTCCTTCGAGTCGTAAATTAAGTGGAAATCATGATCCTGCTTACTTGCCGCAAACAATGTCTCTTTCATTGTTTATTAATTAATAGTACGGTTCATTACCAAAAATTTTTGATTGTTTTATGCTCTGTGTCAGCGTAATGATTTTGACCAAGTGAGGAGAAAACGAAAATATACCGTCTCTCGTGTATACGAAAATCTGCTCGTACATAGACCACCAGCATTTAATTTAGAAATTAAGTTTGATGAAATGACACAATCAAGCAAAGTTTGACTCCAACAAGTGAGTACTTACTTGGATGGCACACGGAATTGCATTCATTTTTGCAAACTACGGGGAAAATCGTGCTCTAATTACAGCTCGCAATTAACACCACCGTCTCAGAGACGGAAGCACAATCAGACACTAAATGTGTATAATTAGGAAGGGATGTGGATGGGCTCGGATTTAATGAAGTTTTAATAAATGGTGCTACATACTCGGAGCACTAACTAAGTACCTCTTCATACATATACCCACGCAAGTAATAATAATAATAAGATATTCCGTACATGTTACGTACATTACATTCCATGGTCGTCAGTCTACTACGACACCAAAAACCTCTTGCACCTCACGACGACGACGGAGCCAGTTCTTGAAAATAATTCTCACTCGTTGATGAAAACCTAACCCCCGTTCGTTGTCCTGTTACACTTCCTCCCGAATTTAATTTTAATTGGTCCTCCTTTGTTTTTCTTACGTAAAGTCCACGTTTCAAAATTATCTCAATAAGAAAGAAATTGAACTGAAATCAAAGGACTTTTTGTTCCTTTGTTGTTCACCAACAAGTCAAGTAAAAATACGGATAATTGGATTTCTCTTTGAAAATAATGAATTGATTTCTCCATTGACGACAAGAAGCCGAGGAGGAGGAGGTGAACAATTGCATCAGAACATACGTGCTGATGACAGCGACGAAATAAACGAGATGACGACGGAATTCAGCAGCAGCATACCGACGGACCTCCATTCGCTTCATATTAAGGAAGAAAAGGTGACCAGCGGGTGGGATTATTTATTCGTATCACAATTTTTACCTTTATTTCCTTCTGTCCTATAACGGCGTGTGTGAGTGGAATGAGACGAAGATAATAATAATAATATAGAAAGAAACGGGGGATGATGAGGATGATGACAACCGCTTCATGGCTCATCTTGTAGGTAAGGTGGAAAAATATGCTTATGTGTGGATAAAGCTGAAAATTTCGAAATAGAAACGACGTGCATTTGGTTGTTAACCAGAAGTCAATCTGACAAGGAGAGTTAGCTACGAAATCATGAAGAGAAAACGCGGTGCTCACGATTTTGCAGACTTACCGACGACGCCCAAAAATTTTTTGATACATCACTGCCTTCGATGAGGAGGAAACCATTCAAATTAATCTGCTGCACGGTTGCTGCAGTCTAATTTGCAGGAAGGGGAAAAAATCCTGATTTCTAAATTGGATGAGATTTCAGATTTTGGCAGAAAAAGTATGAACCAAGAAAAGGGCATTCTTCTTCCTTGTGTCAAACGGCGTATTATTTGCAACTGGAATTTCGACCCTACGTATTTTTAAACTCCTTCCGTCATTGCTTCATTAAATTAATGAAGCAATAATGACGGAAGGAGCCCCTTCTTCAGAGTCTGGGGCTTAAAAGTACCACTTTTGTGGTAACGTGTCCCCAAGTTTCAGCCCCAAACACGAATGCAAGAAGCAATAACTCATTCTAAATCCAAACTCGTGCATAAATTGCAATTTCCGATGTGAATCAATGACTGCAGCAGCCGTTGTAATTTTGTAATGGCAAGTGCAGCAGGTAAATTAAATTCTCAACTCGTTCGTCCATCGACTTCACTCTCCTTGACTTTTGGTCGATGCGAAATTCAATTTAATTCCTTGACATGTAACTCTTCTTGTTGGGGGAGAGGACTTTGTTGATGCACATTTAGTTAGTCGTTGATTGGAAGGAGAAATGACTAAATTAGGTTTTTGCCCTGTTTACAGCGTGCATCCATGAATGCTTACCAACCACAGACCCGAGAAGAATATTCGAACTTGTCAACTTGGAGCAAATAGAGAACAAGAAGAAATTTGTCTGTGAGTGTGTTTCCACAAGTCGTGAAGAGGAGATGTTGATCTAATTTTCTTGTACACAAAGGGAAATCTGATGTAACTGAAATAAATGGATGTTCTTTTAAGAATGACTAAAATTAGCTCAGAGGCATTTCGCCTACCTTGTGCATTCTCGTATGTATCGCATGTTAGCTACAAGCGAGTCTTCTTCTTCTTCCTTATTTTTTGCCCATTTTGGTCCTTTCGTTCCATCATTTCGGAGAATGAAAGGCATGTCTGTGAAAAAGTTTTTCGTTGGAGCTGTTTCTTCCATCAACTTTTTTTCAAAAATGAATTGATCTCTATTTTCAGTTGAACCCTGGAGCGAATTTTGCAATTAATGAATTACTTCATTTTGTGCTTGATATTATTTCGAGGTGCAAGAGACGTGCTTATTTATCCGAGTCTGATATAACGTCGACGACCAAAAATGTTATACATTAAATACAAATTCACTCCAAGTTTAGTACTTTACTTGAAAAAAATTTGGAAATAATTCCTCCACCAAGTCGTGTACCGGACTAAGGAACGTATTTATATTTTCTAAAAAGTAGCTTTAATCCACATCCACAGAATTAAACGCATAGTTGCACACATAGTTTCCTGTGTGAAACAATATGCCAAACAATTTTCGTACACCGAGCGGATTAATTGAGAATGCTGACAACGTTTACAAACAATAGATTGCTGCATAAGAAGAACTGCATGTGCAAGCTGCTTTTGTTTAAGAAACTGCATATCACACGGTTTAATTAGCATACTGCACACAATGAGCAATACCACCATTTGACACAAGAGAAGGAAATGTTCTTTTGGCAATTAAATATAATTATCTAGAGCTTTAGTTTAGCAGCAGCATTATTGTCATCAAGGGCGATCAACTAAATCTCCATTGTATGAAAACATTGGACGTTGACATTGGGACGGATTGAGTCAATCAACTCAATACCGATGACTTTAATTCAATTGGATTATTTTTCCATTCGTACGCAAATCTGTAGTGTCACATTTGTCACTTTGTTCAGGTGTTAGAACAATTCTACCAATTAGCTCATGCGCCTATTTTACGAGGTGTCAGATTAGATCAGACTCTTATTTTTTTTACATGACGTGCTAATTCAGCGAGATAATCTAACCAAATGTCCGTACAACTGTAAACTTATTGACCCCAGGTTAAAAAGGCGGAGGAACAACAAACTTCGAGTATACGTTTTAAAAAAATGTCTTTAAGTCAGATAATTTTTTCCCCAATTAAACGAATTCCGCTCTCCTTTTCGTGTACAAGTTCACACCTCTTCTCTCGTCTCAAACCCCAGCACCAGTCCACTCCACTAAGCAATTTAAACTGATTAAACGTTAAATTAAGCATTAAATCAAAACTGAGAGCTGTCCACCTTAATTATTTGATAAATGAATTCGCCCCAGTTTCGTGCTCTTTGGTATTTGAAAGAAAGGTAAAATATTTTAATAATGAGAGAAAAAGTGGAGATTTAAAGCAGGCCCAAGAAGTATCGACCAAATTAATCTCGTCGTCGTTTGACCCAGAAGGTCGGCCACATAGCAGAAGAGTCACCCCTCCCTCTCAAGTTTTTTTAACAGATTAATCAAGACAACATGAAGCTCATTCATTAATCCAAAATCAAGTCACATTACGCTCTCTCAGAGAGATGAAGGTGGGCACTCACGACGCACACCCCGTGAAATTGTGGAAGAAAGTGGCGAGCAGACAGGCCTAACACTTTAATGTGAAAAGATTCATCATTACCATTCATGTTATCCTCGGCCATCTTATCGCAGGGGAGTGAAATGGATTAAATTGGATGATACTCACTGAAATTGTCTGACACACAGACAAACACTTTACCTGTTACGTATAATATTTTTCTTATCAACTCGTCGGAACTACGGTCAACTTCCTCACACACATGCCAACAGCGTAAATATACGAAACGAAAATATGGGAACAATTTTCCCTTTAAAATTTTGAATGGGATTTGAAACAATGAAGATTACGATTACGGTGAATTATTGAATCACACATACAATGAACGTGCTCCATTACTGACAAGAAAGAGAAGAAGGATTCATTAACCTCCATTGTTTACCAATTATTTGCCACAAGCCCGAGTCCAAACCAGGTCTAAATAAAGCCATAATTTCGAGACAAATAGCCAATTACGATGGTTGATGATCAATAACATGGGGCAAATAAAAGAGAGAAGAATATATGCGGTGATAATGAAGTGCATGATAAATGGCTGCAAAATCTCGGGTTTAAACACCTCTCATCAAGTACCTGATCAAGACATGACTCACATTTTTGCGAGCTACTGACTGATGATAGTCTCAATTTAAATGTATTACGAGTGATCTATTCGTCGTCGTCGTCGTCGTCGTGTGATGACAGAATCTTTTCTCAAAAGTTTATGCAAACTTGAGAAAAAATGAAACTGGTGGTTTCCTTCTTGACTCACGGTGCAAAATTCAATGGAAACGTTGATTACTTTGTTGTGAGGTACACGTAAGTACTGCAATGTAACCGTGAAACGATATGGTACGTATGTATTTGCTACTGTTTTGCGACACGAGATGACAAATGACTTTTTGTTTTTCATAACGATTCTCAAAACTTGGTCGCAAATGGCCCCGTCCACTTGGGATGAGTAATACGTTTAAAAAAATATTTTCCAAAAAATTTCTCAAGTCACCAAACCCACCAAAATGACTTTGAAAATGCGATAATGATGCGTCTAGAAAGCAGGATAAGAATAAAAGCATATTTATATAGAGAAGATCACCCACCTTTTCTTTCCATTTCCAATCTTGTCCAGTTCAATGTGACGAATATGAGCGTAGGCAGCCATGGTTTGCGACTTTGTTTTGAATTACGAGAAGGCAAATCAGCAAAATCAGCGACAAAATGGACGGAATGGTTTGTTTTCAAACAGTTTTCCAACGACAAGGTGACAAAGACAAGCAGTTGTCAACTCTCCAAGTCAAGTTCAACAAAACCGAATGTGAGGGAACTGTATAAGCCACGAAAAACAAGTCCAAAACTAACTGTTCTTTGTGTGTGGAAGTGGAAGAGAGAGCGAGAGTGACAAAACTTTTCCAGACTTTAAATTTAGATTTCGCCTTTAAAAAAGCAGCGATTTTCCTCCTACGGATCCGAACTCGTCTCAAAATAGACTGAACGAGGAACGAGGGTTGGGGTGAGAGTGCGTCGGCTGGTGAAATGAAGGGAAGTTTTCTGGTCGTCTCCCTACTTTTTCCGGACTTGGTTTATTATTGGTGGCTGATATTGCCTGGTAGATGGACGACTGCAGTTTTTCCAGATTCTGTGAAGAAGAGAGTTGGTTGTGAGAGGACAAATGCGATACTGAGGCTGTGAGGAAGAGTGAGTCAGGTAGACTACTACGAGAGGAAATAAGAGTCGTCTCAAATTCTCATCATGCAATTTAGATGATGAGAGAGAATAAGCTGTAACATGATGGGAAGAAATACCATTTTAACTTTGCTGCACATCGGGATCGAGTATACGCGTTGGATAGTCGTTTTGCCATCGCAAAGTACAACTCGTAGCATTGGAGGGAGTGGGTTTATCGTTTTGCTGGTAGCTTTAGCACCTCAAATGGTAAAATGTATGTGCATTCATTCCATCCCAGTGCAACAAACAACAGTTCGTCTCAACTTTTGCATGAGGTAAATAAACCAAACACAAGTCTACATTATGCATATCAAAGAAACGTAGAAGTGACATTGACAATTGGATGAATTGAATTCCAGCTAGGAAGATAACTTAGAATAAACTGTCCATACATTAAAATGTACAGATTTGTGGTGTGATTTCATACATTTATGAGAAGCAGATGTATGTATAAGACAAGAAATATCTCGTCTTTAGAACCTTTAGAAATCTCGCCGGAAATCGGGGATTTGATAACATTTTCAATGAACGATTTGCCTTATCTTCATTGATTTGTGACTAATACTCAAAGAACAGGAGCCAATTATCACTCATTACTTACTTGAATTTCTGGGAATGATTCACAACAATGTCATGTGTTCGAGGACAGAATTTAATCTGTGCATTGATCTTGATCCAAAGCTCCGACTAGAACGGTTAGCAAGTAATCTGTAACAACTGCTAATAACAACAAACGATGTTGCTCATGCAGTGCTACAGATCGAGTCAGTCAGTCGTGTATGTAGCTTTTGTTTCCAAATGAAGCCATCTGAGTGAGCATAATAATTGCTCAGTGAAGTGCAGTTTACGCAAATGTCGAGGTTTCAATAATCCCCCACCAACCAACCAACAGGCAGATCTTTATCCAAAACATGTAATGCACAAGATTCTGCCTTAAAGGCCGTCAGCTCAACTGTACACATATGCATACATACATACACACCGCTACTGCTGACGATAGGACCTAATACAGTTAGATGCTCACTCATTATGCATCGAAAAATAATGGGACACAAGAGGCGAATTGTCTGTCAGAGAAGAACAATAAAACGAGGGGATTGGTTCTTCCACACACAACGGCGAGACAGGAAGCGCTATGTTCTTCAATTATTTCATCTCTAATAATTTACCAGGATTATAATCTTCACTAATTTATCGAGTTTTTAAGAAGTCAATCGTGCCGTAGGTGTGGGTCCATTTGTGACGAGATGTTTGCACAAAATTTCTCCCCCTGAGTGAGGGCAACCCCTAACCTACCCCACTCGGTCGTGTCGTCTGATCGCACTTTCAGTTACTCCACCTCCTCCTCCCTGCCACCACTCTTTCTTAATTTGTGATCATTAATGTGTGAAAAGTGCATTCCCAGCAGACCCAATGTCGAGGGGAACGTTACCATCGTGTCGTCTGGAGTAATAATTTTACCGAATTCTGCTCATCTCTCTCTCTTTCTCCCCTCAAACTCACCATCAGTGAAAAAGAAATGCCGGAATTAATGATAGCACGACAATGATACGGATACTTTCTTATTTTCTTTGTGACACACATCATCCTTCTTCATCGTTAGCGAGCAGAGTGCCAATAACGATCGATGCATGGTGACGGTGACTCAATAAGTTTGGCATAACTTGATTTTGACAGTTGAACGATGGTGGTGGTGTTGATTCTTCCAGCTCATCATCAATTTCATTTTTCAAACTTAAAATTCATAAGTGACTGGGAGACAGATTTATTTTGGGTAACGCACACGCAGCCAATTTTTACTCGGAATACATACGCCAACCAACTCAATTGCTGACCCTCATTCGGAAAGTGCATCCTCCTAAATATAAATGCATTCCTGGCACCATACGTACTCGTGATTTGGGCTGGGAAGAAGATAAAAAAATCAAGGGGAGATTATCACCCAGTCATTCTCTGCCATATCCATTCATCCATCTCATCTCGGGTAGATCTCATTGATCTGCAGGGAATCCAATTGTCTCGACTTGGTCGGATATCCATTCTTATTGTTGTCCGATTGTTGCATCTCATTCTCTCCCTGCGCTACATGCATACATGTGCACTACATATAGCATAATATAATCTCCGCATATAATTCGCCTACTGGTCATCAGCCATGGTGGGTGATAGCTGAATTAATTTATTTCACTATACACAACAATTACAATCCACAGGAGTCAGTCAATGAATTCTTCTTGGATGGGGAAATGCATGCACAAATTAAATGGGGATGGATGCGTATGTAGTGTGGAACGCAAATAAATATCATCTGAAACATTACTCCAGCCCATTCAGTCAGATCCGTAGGGTAAATCGGGGTCAGAGATGCAGTCCCTCCCCAAAACTGATCATCCCCTCTTTTTTCCCTTCATCCCATTCTTCCTTCATGCCCATTTCCCAGCAGAATTACGTGTCATCATTTAGCAGAGATATTCCTAATCCTTTATTGCTTTGCTACAACCGGAGAAAAAAACCGAGGGCGAGTCAGTCTCTATATTTGCTCATTTTACTTCCAGTTTCAAATTCCAACCAAAATATATTTATTTAAAACACTGACGCGACATAATAATTGCAATTTTTCTCTACCCCTCGTTTAATTGTAGTTTTGATTTATAGAGGACTGTTGACAGCTGAAATTCAAACTTGTCAAGTAAATCCTATCGGGTTTAATTCCATGATGATGATGAGATTAGTAAATATAAAATCCAAGTGTCAGCAGAAACAAGACAATAATGCGATCCTTCAACACGTCAGCCACAATCAGTCCGCAGCATCTTTTTATTTATGAAGGAGGGGAATAACACTTTTAAATAATGAATAATCACACTTTTTTTTACACAGGCTTCAACAATTTCAAACAAGCGAGTGCTATTAATGCGTGAAGGTACGATAATCAAATCAATATTGATGGTTGCATTGCTAAAATGAGCGAGATTATTTAGAACCTTTCAAGCCGATAAATTTGAAGTGAGTGATTTCTTCGTTTCATTAAGATTTTTTGCCAATCTGCGCTGCGGAAGCGAGCCAGGCATCCATCCAAGCAAACAAGGTGTCGAACATGACCAAACCAGATTTTCTTTGTTTGTTCTCTCGTGCTTATCTGAAAGATGTTTCTCCCGATAAGCGTGTACAAATAATATTTCGAAGGAACTATTGAGAAGGCAGCATTGGAAAAAATCACTTCTTGTGGATAGTTTTTGCTCGTCCACTCCTATCTCCCAATCATCTATTGAAACAACGAAGAGGCATCATTCCCTTGCGAATCATCTGCATACACAGCAAGATAAAAAATAATTTGTTTCTGCTACAGAAAAAAATTAGCTCTTTTCCGGAACTTGAAAATATCAGGATGCATGAACTGTTTACGTGACGAAATGTTATAAAAAGTTGGTAAATATGAATTGAAATTTGTTCCAAATCTGGAAGATTGTTGATGCGTCATTCAATCGTTAAATTTGGGTTTATTATTTGTATTTTCGTATTTACGGAAACCTTCTCAAAGTGCATATTCTACTGTTCATTAATGCATGTTGCATACATTTTTAAAGGTAATAACACGTTCTAGAGTGAACGATTTTACATTAATTTTTTGTCCTCAAGTTGTAGCTCCATGATCCCGACATTTAAAAAAATTGGAGGTCCATTAACTTTTACAATTTAGCCATTTCCCATCATTATTACCAAGCACAATCTATCCAGCTCAAACTACTTTGTAAGTTCTTCCAGGTGTGCGATTCACTTCAATTCAGACACGACGTCTACTTCCCCGACCACAACATCGCATTAACCGGTAGCCAAATTTCGAAAAAAAGATGAGATCATTTTACATGGACCAAAAATTCAAGAAACAGAGTGTGAGGTTTTAAAAAATTCGAATGAATGCGTCAATCATTTATTTCGTAGTAATATGTTTCCTAGATTTTATTTAGTCCTTCAGAAATGTATTTTTCCAATCGGGATAAATTCTTATGAATCTCATCTTTCCAATAAAAGGTTGAGTTAGCAGCAAATATGCAGCACACAGGTGAATGCTATAAAGTTAATGACGTGTTATCTAATAAGGAGAAATATTAAACCCTTTCCCACACAAGAACAAATCCAAAGTCACCATTCAACCAAAATAGAAATGAACTTGTCATCTCACTGCGAAAATAAAGTGTCAACTTTTTCAGTCATTATATGGGAAAAGAAGTGAGAGCACAGTGATGCATGCAAGGCCAATAAGCCACCAACCCGTTTATGTAAGTAACCAGAGGAGTAAATTTCCCATGACACTTTTTCACAGTGCAAGAAAATTGCAACAAAATTTTCTAACCGAAAACCAATTTAGTCAGATCAAATTCTTGTCTGCCAAGGTTCGAAAAATACGAGCGAGATTGGGATTGATTTTCTACACATAATTGTTACCAAGTTTGACGTTGTTCAGAGAGGAGGAACACTAAAAATGCATATTTACCACAGCTCTCTGACCCATTTTAATGGTCAATGATAAAATAATATGTATTTTAAGGATTTCAAGTTTGAATGTACCCTCTCTTAAAGTATGTTTTCATTGTGTTTAAAAATACTGATTCTCGCTGCTAAAAGGACTAAAGGAACCATAATAAATTTTACATAACTTTGTTCAACACCCGCATTTAGCTATGCATACATACATTTATTTTGTAAACAATATTTACTTGCCAGCAAAGCAATAATTTTACTACCGAAACTTGGTGATGAATAGCAGCGTCGTCTTTACAAAAGAGAACTTCCGACGGAAAGGAATACCTTTAAACGTGAAATACCATTATGTGCACTCTTTCATTTTTAAAGGTCCCACAGATCCCAAGTGCTTCTGAAAATCGCCGTCATTACTCGGATGCCATGAGGTTAAAAATATATATTCTAATTTAAGATAATTTGCCATAATTTTCCAATT